TCGAGACGTCAAGCAGCGCGCTGGTTGTGGGACCACAACTTTGTGAGGCGATAGACCGGCACGGGCCATGGCCCGACCCATGCGTTCAAGTGTTTGCGCCTCGTTCCACATGTCCAGTTCGCGCAAGTGTTGTTCCTGCGCCGCCTTATTCGCCTCATACATTCGTGGGAAGAAGGAGTTGCACAGTCTGAGAATTATTCTCAGATCAAGGGCAAAGTATGCTCTCACCTCGGGGTACTGGATCTTCACAATCACCTTTCGTGCCTCTTTGCCAGCGCGATATTCGGGCCTGAGCACACCCACATATGTTTGTGCCAGAGACGCCGCGCCAATGCAATTCGGGTTGATGGTCTCAAAAACTTCCGACAATGATTTACCTGTAGAATCATGAAAAACTTTGGCCATCACCAGAAATGGCCGCTCTGGAACGTCGGCTAACAGCGGTTTCAATGCGTCGTAATATTGGGGCGGCATGAGGCCCTTTTTTAACAACAATTGCTGACCCTTCTTGATAAAAAATCCACCCAAAGTGCAGATCCCGACAAAAGCTTTGCACGCAGTCCTCTCATGGAACTTAGTTTCCTCAAACGCCGCGCGCTCAGAGCTCCAATTCAAAATACGACCGCGTAACTTCAGTATCTTGTAATCGAGCCATGGAGGGATAATATGACTGTAGATCTGGAGGAGGCGCGAAACTGATAAGAAAAATTCAACCACAAGCATTGTAAATCACTGCCGGAAAAGTAAGTGCAGACAATGAGGCCAGCCAAAGAAACACGCAAGAATATTAAGACGGATCGCCAAAGTAGCTTTCTAGTCAATCAAGATAATAATTTGGCATAAAGGGTAAGTTGAGTGAGCCTCAAGGCCCACCCCACTACCCTAGTTTACTAGCTAAACTCCCTCTCTCTAAAATAGGTTCGGCTGGCCACGGGGAGAAAGAATTTCGCCGGCGGGCTGCTTCAGCAGCGCCGGCCAGATAAGAGCATAAGGAGCGAGTATCGACTGAGCTGCAATAATAAATAACAGCTCATTCTCTCTCTCTCCTCTGGGCGCTACTTTCCTGGCTAATCGAAGATTACCTGTACAAAGTAGCTTTCTAGTCAATCAAGATAATAATTTGGCATAAAGGGTAAGTTGAGTGAGCCTCAAGGCCCACCCACACGAAGTCCCCGAAAGGATCAATCGACGTACCTCTGACCTCGTCCTCCTGTGAGGACTTGGTCAGTCCATGGCGCATCACCCGGGTCCAGTGGATAAGCATCTAGACACGCGGGTGACAGCCGGTCTGGAGAAGGGAAGCTCGACTGGCCATA